TACTTATATATCGATTACTTTAATTTAGTGATTAACTTTATTCATGATAATGATATTGAAATCTCATTGAATTGCACCTTCTTTTTGCATTATTGGAGAAGGGGAGATGTTCGAGCTTCTTTTTCCCCCTAATATCATGAATTCTATTTGGTTTGGTAATCAAGGTCGTAAGACTAATGGATGAAGTGGAGTCCATTTTCACAAAGCACTTCGCCAACAATGACAGGAAGAAGGCAATGAAGTTCTTGAGACCGCAGGAGCAGAAGAACTCTCACATGGTCACCTTTTTTGTTGGTAATCATCTTACTCGAACCATATATTTATATTCCACACTCACCCAAATCTGAATAACATAACTTATGGTCACAAAAAATCTAATCACTGTCAATTAGTCTTATGAAGATGATCTCTTATTTTTTTTTCTCGCTTAGTGGCAATAACTTAATCACTTTATCATCTAAAATTCAACATATATGATTCACTTGAACAATAAAATCACTACTTCAATCCACCATCCTATCGGTGGAAATAAAATAATGGAATAGTAATATTGAGGATCTGTGGCCCCTCGAAACAGTGAGGCTGACATTCAACGAATTTTTTAGGTCACCGATTCACTTAATTTACTCTTTATTATTTTTTCCCTTTTTTGCAGGATTGTTTACAGGTTCTTTTGTATCATTGTTTAGTGTATATGTAATATTGGCACACTTGTCTGGTATATTCTCACCTAGCACAGAAACAGCTTACATGGAGACTGTCTACCCTGTTTTCAGGTACGCATATTTCATTTACCTCTATTAATTTTCTCATTTTAAAATTACATGTAATAACAATTAGAAAATATAAGCAGTAAATTGATCAGTTATGTTATTATATTCTTGAAGGATGATATCATCATATCTATGTCCAGATATGTTTGGATATAAGTACAAACGTCATATTTTATGTTACAAATACTAAATTTTAGAAGTTATATTAGAAATTTATAGAAACGAGTATAATTAATTTATCAATGAAAAATTCCAAAAACACCTATAGTTTAAAAGGAAAAATGAAGATTAGGAGCATCATAGTTGAACCAAGATCATGCAAGTATAGCCAATGGCAGATGTAGATTATATCTAGGATAGCAAGTGTCCACCCTGAAATATGATTTTTTATTTATTTATTCATTTTACTGACTGTGATTACCTTGAGACTTTATTTGTGCCCACCCATTTTGTGTAGTTAATATATGTGTGATGTGTTACCTTTAAAAAATATTTTTGAATATGCCTTTGAGTATAGCATTAATATCTCAAATGCACAACAGAACTAATCCTACAGCCAAGCCTACTAAACTATTTACCAAGTTTAAATTTACCTATTAACAAGTAATATAGTTAATGTGCTATTAAACATGAGACACTTGGATTGGTTGCAATTACTAACTGGAAGTATTAATTTCATTATTGTGCAGTGTATTTGCATTGTTAAGCTTGCACTTATTTTTGTATGGGTGCAACTTGTTCATGTGGAAAGCTACGAGAATAAACTACAACTTCATCTTTGAGTTTTCATCAAGCACAGCCTTGAAGTATAGAGATGCATTCCTTATTTGTACCACTTTCATGACGTCTGTGGTTGGGGCTATGGTCATCCACCTGATATTAAGGGCTGGGGGATTTTCACCTTCTCATGTTGACACTATTCCTGGAATCCTCCTCCTGGTATTGGTTAAACAACTTCATTAGTGTCTATATACTGTTTGTAACCAAAAACTTCGAAGTATATGAGGTACTAATTTTAAATCTCGATTCCAGATATTCATTTGCTTGCTGGTCTGCCCATTCAACATTTTCTATAGGCCAACTCGATACTGTTTCCTTCGAATAATACGTAACATAATATGCTCTCCATTGTATAAGGTTATTACTGCACTTGCAATCTTCTTACCATCATCTTTTCAATTGGTTTTGTATGAAGTTCAGAACTTGTAACTTAGCATGTTCTTACTCATGCTTATTGTATATATATGCAGGTTTTGATGGTTGATTTTTTCATGGCTGACCAACTTACTAGTCAGGTAAATTAGCCAGAGACAGGCAATGACTACTGATTTAGCACTCATTTCAAAATCATTTTAGAATTAACATTTTTTTTTATCTTTCTTTTGAATACAGATTCCATTGCTAAGACACTTGGAATCAACAATCTGCTACTTTATTGCTGGAAGTTTCAAAACCCATGAGTTTGCAACATGCAAAAACGGAAAAATGTACAGACAACTTGCTTATGTAATCTCATTTTTACCATATTATTGGCGAGCCATGCAGGTATGAATGTTCCATAAAATCCCTTACATTTCGTTATTTTCCCATTAAAGAGTTGCATAATTATAAGTAAACATATTACATGACATCGGTTTCTCAGCTTTCTCATATTTTTTCTGAAATAACATTGTTTTTCAATTTAATTTCAAGTGTGCTAGAAGATGGTTTGATGAATATGACCTGAATCACTTGGCTAACATGGGGAAATACGTTTCCGCGATGGTAGCAGCTGGTGCTAGGCTCACATATGCTACACAGAGCAACAATCTATGGTTTTCTGTAGTGTTGGTCACTTCAGCTGTGGCTACAGTTTACCAATTATATTGGGATTTTGTCAAGGATTGGGGGCTTCTTGATCCAAATTCCAGAAATCCATGGCTTAGAGATGATCTAATTCTAAAGAACAAGAGCATTTACTACATCTCGATTGTGAGTTATCCTTGGTCAATTTTTAAACCACTGCATTGTTCATGTATAAATATGTATATATGTATGCTATTTTTTTCCTCCGTCATAATGACTCAATTACATGATTATAGGCCTTGAATGTAGTTCTAAGAGTTGCTTGGGTAGAGAGCATTATGCGGTTTCGGTTCCATCCGTTTCAGACACATTTGCTAGACTTCTTCTTGGCTTCCCTGGAGGTTATCCGACGAGGACATTGGAATTTTTACAGGTATTTTCTATCAAACAATTCCAAAACAAGCCATATGGTGCTTAAATGAAGTCTTGTAAGCTATGCTAACACTGGACACACTATCGCTGAACAGGTTAGAGAACGAGCATCTAAACAATGTTGGCAAGTTCAGGGCCGTAAAGACTGTTCCATTACCCATTCCGTGAGATGGATTCCGACGGCTAAAAGGGCTCGTTAAAATCCGGGGACGAAGTCCCTAACCAAGTCGACGTAAAGGACATTCCAAGGATCGACATTTTATCTTGGGTTTCCTGTTATCTGAATGAATCCAAAATGTAAAGCTCTCGACGTGCAGGAACAAGTACCAGCATCGAAATGGTAATACTTGGATTTGCTGGTATATGAATCAATCTGATGTCTTTAGTCAATACTCAAAGGCATTCTTTTTTTCCCTCCCTCCAATTTCTTTACGAAGATGGAAACGTATATTTGATTGTCTGTATAATGAAGGGAACTACTGATCATCAAGCAAAATAAATTTCTAATTGATCTAGTTTGTACATCATTCCAAATCATTGTTAAATGAAAATATCATCCCATTTTCTAATGATAGAACATAAAATATGCAGAAATTCATGAAAAAATACTCATGCTCAAACAAATTCGAATACAAAAGCACGAAATTCCTTTAAAACATGAAACCGGTCACTGTTGTCATGAAATTGACCGATTTGTACATATATTTTCTAGTTCTTATTCTTTCAATCCAATGCACACAAACAATTGTAGAAAAATGAGTGACAAGCGTTGTTTACACGTCAAAAATAATAAATAAATCCTCTTCAAACAGAAATAGTGTAGTATAGAAAGAGGTCGATCCATAGGAAAAAAATATGGAATTTCAGCTCAAATAAATTTGAATTCATATCAGAAGTAGAAATTAAACAAATAAAAATAAATAGGGTAGGTGTGATTTAGAAGAAGAAAAATAAGAAAGCAACTGAGAGAAATTAATTAAAAGGAAAGCAGTAAATCAGAAGAGAAATAAAATAAAATTTAGAAAGCACAAGGAAATAAATCGCCTCGAGCTAGCTTGATTCAATTCATCCGATCATCAAAATAGATTTTGCTTCGGGATTCATGTCGGTTACAATCTGCAAGGCCCAACCCGTTATAACTTGCCCTTCCCTCATGTAATTGATCTTCCAAGTCTATCTTTTGAGAGACGATTCTTGAGTGGATTAACCACATCTATTACCGTTAAAATAATCAGAATTAAACTGAAAATGCCCGACTCAGATATTTTTCTCGTCAAGAATCGAATCGATCTCGTCTTTCCTTAGCGGACCACCGCTAAGAGTGTTTACAGGAAGTCGAACTACCACAGGCCGATCCTTCCTCCCAATTGTATAATTAAATGATATCCAGACCGAGCTTTTTTTATTTGAAAAGCGTTTAAAATTGTGTAAGGCTGATTGCCAAACTATTTAACCAGAAAGACAAAAATGTAAGCCAAAGGGATTTAAGCGATGTTCAATTCTCACGCATGGAATTGGTTTGTACTAGCTGTCGGCTTAAAAGAAATTAGCTAAGCATGATATGGTTGATCATACTTAGCATAGTTTGCAAAATAAAAATGATTTGAAAATAAAAAAAAAGTAAGAAAAGAAAAATAAACTTCGATTGACAAATAAAAATACAAAAACAAAGTAATTCATAGGTTGTTTCAACCTTACCCATGCAAAGATATTTATAGACTTGTGATTTCCTAAAATAACAAAGATAATTCAAAATAAAATTCCTAAATAATCCTAAGTGATAATTTCGATTCAAATGTTTTAAACTCAATTTAAAGAAATTGAAAATCCTAAAATCTCTCATAATCGTTTTCAGCGAATTGCTTCTAGAATCTTCCAATGCTTCCAAATACTGTCACATCAATTCTACTTCGTGTCATGACTCCAGCATGACATCTTATAAAAAAAGGGTGCACAATACATCTTATCATTTTGCTGACAATTTCAATAAGTTAATCACTGCACATAAAATAAATAAAAACAACAAATTCAATAGTGATAAATTCTTAAAGCAAGAGAATTAACGAGCAAAAGGTGTCACATAAATGCAACAATGACATATACCATAATTCAGAAGGCTATTTTTGTTGTTTTAAAGACTCTGCTATCTTCTTTGAGAGACAATAAGCAGTGGACTGGATAGTGATCATTGGATTTACACCGACGGCACTCGGCAAAACACTTGCATCGCAAACAAACAATCCTTCAGCTTCCCAACTCTCTCCGTTTTCATCAACTGCACCTTCTTTCTCATTGATCCCCATCCTACAGCTTCCCATCTGGTGAGCGCTGGTGTGCACGACCCAGCTATCGTCAGTGGAAAACGCGCTTGTTGCTGAAGAAACCGAGTCCAGAAACTCCTCCAACTCCTCGTTGCTTTTCCCTTTGCATATTATTCTCTGCCCGTCACTCCGGTGAGTGCCCACCTCAACTGCCCCGGCTGCTACTAATATCCTCAGCGACTGTCGCAAGCCGGCTATCAAGTTTTGTCGGTCTAATGCATCGAACTTATAGGTCACTCGTCTTCCAACATTAACTATTCCGGATCCGCGATCCCTTATTATTGTTATCATTTGAGCAGTTCTGGAGAATTTTAGCATCCTAGTTTTCAAGTCAAGACCAGATATCCAAGGGCATAATACAGAGTATTGTGCAGGCCCAATTGAAGGAGTTTCAACGATGGCTTGCAATTTGTTGTCGTCTGCTACTACCTTATGCACTGACGTGATTATTCCACCCTCATGGGATTTCCCTTTGAACTCGGAATTCGAGTCTGGAAAGTAACCCCATGCCATTAGGACCGGATGAAGATGAAGGTTTCGACCGATGTTCCGATTCTTCAACCCACTGGAATGCATCAAAAGTGGTGTACAAAGTGCCCCACATGCTGATATTGTTACTTTGGCCTCTATGTGCAGTTTCTTTGTGATATTTTGATTTGTAGACTTTGCAATAACTCCCAAGCACCTCATTTTCCTTGTACTGCTTGACTTGTTTCGTTCCAATACGAATCTTTCTGCCTTGCACCCTGTTATAATCACTGCATCATTGTTTACGGCATCGACGAGCCATGTTCGATCGGTCCCTTTCTTGTCTCCCCTTCTACAACCGAAGCCGCACGATCCACAGTAATGGCTCTCGGACGAATTCCGTGGCACTTTCTCGACTTCAAGACCGAGATTTTCACACCCTCTCCGAAGTACTTGGTTCTGAAATCCTTCCTCTATACAATCTTCCGTGACACCAATCCTTTCACAAACAGTTTCCATAGCTGAAACATATTCAGTGGTTCCAAATAGAGGTATTTGACAGTCCTCAGACCATTCTTTAAGTACAGGTTTCGGCGTTTTGATGCAGGCCGACCAATTTACAGCCGAGCCACCGCCGACCGTGGACCCTGCAAGAAGCAAAAACTGTCCGTCGAGGGTCGGAAGGATTCCTCCGGACTCATATAGTTGATCCAGCGAGGGGCCTTCGAAGGGTGAATAATCTGCCGCAGTAAAATAGTTTCCCTTCTCTAGAACAACAACTTTGAGACCAGCACCAGCCAGCATTGCGGCTGCAACACCACCACCGCAACCGGAACCGACAATCACTGCATCGCATTCGATCCTGCAGACATTTCGTTCGGTATCCTCTGTGACTCGGAGGCCTTTCTGCGTTAGAGATCGATAAAGAGTTGAGTCTTTCTCGTTCGCTGTCTCGATCATTCCAGTTTGGAGTGGCTTATCCTTTGTTACTTGTGAATTATCATGAACATTGTCGACACTATATCCAATAGCTTCCCAAGCTGGATTATGACCATCTTCTCCTACCTGAACACGGAATTTAACCATAATAGTTAATAGTATTAAAGATTTGAACTAATTGACGGTATTATAATAAGAGTGATTAGATTATGACAAATTAAAAGTATGGGATTAAATCTAAATTTAAGTATAACAAAGAGATCAAAGCGTAATTTGACCTTATATATGTTTATTGTATTTATTAAATGTTATGTAATTATGATAACTTAATTCATTTTATCTCATTAAACCTAAAAATTTAGATTTGACTAAGCTGAGAATGAATTTTGAGTCTCATTGAAAATACGAAAACTGAGTTGGATAACTTGTGGTGTTGAGTTGGACCCTACTCCCAAAGAGAGGGAAGTCACATTTCTTCCATCGAGTAGAATGATAATGAAGTTTGAACCACCATTTTCCTTTCTGTAAATGTTTAAATATAAAACTTTAATTGGGAATAGCAATAGAATATGATATGATATTTACGCAATCTAATTAAGATTATTTAAACATGTGTTTAGACTTTTTCTATCATGACAATGTACAGAAATTCATGAAATCCATACTTCAAAAGGAACCATACAAATCTGTCTATTTTAATGGCGTGTGTCATATTTAAAAATTATTATTTAAAGTCTAAAATTTAAGAAGCGTGAGATTCGAATAGATAGAGGTGTATAAATAATAATTTTGATTAAAGAAAACAACTGAGGAAATAAAAATTATTTATTTTGATTAAAGCTAAAATTAAAAAAAAGTGGTTAATAATTTTCCTTATTGTGGTGAACCCACGTTATTAAATTCATAGCACTACTAATTAATTACGATGCACAAACAGTTGCATATCAATCAAATTGAAATTAAATGCTAACAGTTGAATATATCTTTCCAAAGTTTCCAACTTGTGAAGGTACGAGCCTGGTGGAACCACTCAACTTTATATTGCATTACAAATAATTCACTTCAATTTCTTCCACGTTTTATTCATTTATTTTTATTTAATATAATTTTTAATAAATTAATTTATTAGATTAGAAAAAGTATAAATTATTAAATATATTAATTAAAATATTCAAATAAATATAATAAAAATAATTTACTTAATCGGTTTAAATAAATCAAATTTAATTCGATTAAATTTCTTAGAAATAAGAATTCCACATGACAACCTTAACTTTTTAGACTTTTCATAGATCTCCCAAGTTCTTAGTCTTTAAAATTTACCTCTTACTTATTTATTGAAGTAAAGCCATTGATCTTACGTAGGGATAACAATTTAATTAAAATCCAATAAATTTTGATATGATTTGATTTTACAAGGTTGGTTTTTTAAAAATTGAGTTTGGGTGAATTCGAGTCTGATTTTATATATGGTGAGGTCGGGTTAGATTCAAATAAATGGTGAAAAATCTAATCTGACCTGGGGTCAATAGTGTAATTTTTCATATAAATTTATAGATACTTGCTATAATACTCTTCTTTCTATAGTTTTTTTAATTAGGTCTTTATAATATCACGTCAGGTTAAATCAATCAGATTTATATTTTCAAAAAATTTAGTTGAACCGGATAAAAGAAAATGTGTTCTTCAAGTCTATTCAAATCGAGTAAAAGATATATATTTTGAGTTAAATCCCATTTGACTGTTGTCGCATGTAATCTTAATCCAAAACAATAAAAAACGAAAATGAATAAAACGAGGAAAAGATGGCATTGAATGAGTACCAGAGAGAAGTAGACGAAAAGGCAGACGACTTTGAAGTAGACGAAAGCAACCCTAATGGGAGTAAAAAAGAGCCGGTGCTCCTTGAACCACATCTGTATTATCATCTCTCTCTTCTCCACTGGGATGCAAGAGAATCGAATGATGAAAGGCCATCTGTGCCCCAAACAATGCCTTCCGCACAGCAGCAAGGTCCCAAACCTGGTGGACAGTAACATCAATACAAACCTTAACAGTATCAATGTCTCAGTGAATGCTCTCTTTGACAACAACTCTGCTACCTGTTAACAAAATGCGCAAATGCAACTACTGTCAGAATCGCGCTTGTAAAAATGTAATTGCTCTTCTGAAACCTGCTTCAGAACTTGTTAGTATACACACACGTATTCTTACACGTCTAAGAATACAGCTAGGGACGTATACTAACCGATTTAGAATTTTTTTTAAAAAGATGGACGTAGATACTAATAACAATAATTTTTCATATGAATAAGTACATATATAATTTTATTGATGGTATAATAGATAATTGATATAAAAATACAATTTAAATTTCAGGGTGAGCTCTAGTTCACTTGAACTCCATCTACATTCGACACTAGGGATGTAGGCATAAATTTATGTCTTGGATAAATTTTCAGAAATTAATTTATAAAATTCTAGGGATGGAAATAGATTATCAATAAAAAATACAGAAAATTTTAAAAAATATATTATAATTTAAAATTTTCAAAGGACATTGTCTCTACTCACGCTCTCTCAGTTAATCCTAAATACAACAATCTATAATGATTCTATTATAATTATTAAATAATGATATACCCACTTTGGTTTGTGCATAGAAATAACCTTAAATCAGAAATAACTATTTTGATACTTTCAAATATGAGGATAAAATTCTTTGAAATAAAAAAGAAAGTAAAGAGACTAACTTAAAAACGAAGGGATATGAGACCAAACAGAAGAATGTTATTTTAAAAAAATTTAAGTAATTATCTTTGTATTATATGTGTATTATTAATAAGCTGAACATATTTATATAATTTTGTAATCATCTCATGTTATTAGGAAAATAAAAGGAAGGGATATATGTAATACCTCGTGTGGGATCGGGGATTCGGATGCAGAAGCTTTTAGGAAGGATTGGACAGCCTTATTCGGCTGATTTTCCATTCCTTCAAAACAAGGATTGGGCGGCAAACAAGGGAAAATAACTTCAGCAAAGCTGCCCAGCGTCTCCATCTCCGATGAACTGAACCCATGACTGTATTTTCTCTCTTTCTTCTCTCCTCTACCCAACACCATCTCTTTCTCACAATATATATCTCTATCTTCTTCTTTTCTTTTGTTTTTGTTAAAGAAGATTTGCTTCACTCGGCAACTTGCTTTGGAGTTTTTGGACCCTTTTATACAGTGGGAACGTGAAAATGTGGAAACGTGGAGTGTTTGGATTCCAAGAAAAAATTGTGAAAACGATAGAGTCCTATTATAGACAAAACTGGTAAAAGAAATAAAAGGAAAATTGATTTAAAAAGTTAGAATTGGTGACACGTCCAAGAACAAAAGTTTGCTAACCGATAGTCATCTTAACCACCTCATACTTTATTACTACTTCATTGCTATGCACAATCTTTTTTGCTGAGGGAAGTAAAAGAAATTATAATATTGAAATTAAAAAAAATATTGTGAAATTTTATGAGTAGATAAGAGTAAATTGTAAGTATTAATTTCTTTTACAGGATGTTTATTTTTTTAGATGTTTATTTAAAGTGGTGTTAGTTTTATTTATAATGTTTTATATAAAATTTATAATATTTTAAAGTTTTCTTTTAAGTGCAATTAACCCCTTTATCGCTGGATGGTTCCGCTCATGCCGGTAAGAGTCCAACTCAGAATTGGAATTGGAATTAGACTTGGGGGTAGCTGGCAGCTGGAAGTTGTGAATTAGATCTAGCCAATTCAATTTAAAGTGTTAAAACTTTCAATTCATCTTAATTTATAATTATTTAAATTGAGGTTAGACTTTTATTTTGGTTTGAAACTTGAATTTTAATTGATTTAAGTTAGGTAAATTACATATTTAGTCTCGTAATTATTCTCGTGGTTTGTTTTGGTCTCCTAATAATTTTAAATGATTAAAGTTATGTTTTGGTCATTTGTCGTTAAAAATAATAGAATTACTGACATTGTATGTTTTTCAATACGACGTGACATTATCTTATGATAACACATAACATCGCTGCTAATTTTGGTTTGATATTTGAATTTAAATTGATTTAAGTTATGGTAAACTACATAATTAAGTCATCCATATATTTTTGTAGTTCTATTTTGGTTACCCAATTATTTGTTTTTTAAAATCAATACCTAAAGTAAAGTTTTGGACATCCGTTTTTAAAAAAATTGAATTGCTAATATGGTAATTTTTTTCCAATGTGACATGCCATTGTCTTATGGTAACACATCAACATCACTGTTAATTTTTAACAGGGTGACCAAAATAGAACCAAAGTATAACGTTGGGTATGTTTTCGAAAAAATAATTGGGTGACCAAAATAGAACCAAATTGTAATGTTATGTATGATTTTGAAAAAAAAAATAGTTAGGTGACCAAAATATAACCAAAATGTAACTTTATGTATGATTTTGAAAACAAAATAGTTTGGTGACCAAAATTAAACCGCATGAATAATTGAGTGACTGAATATATATTTTACTCATTAAATTATTTGCTCATATCGCTTCGAGGTTTGTGTCGACTTTTTGTGTAGAATAACATTTACGGTCCCTTTCAAAACTTATTAAATCAATCAAAGCATTTTTATCTTTAATTAAATGAAACTTTTATGTTTGACTCCTCCAAAATTTAATAATTTATATACATTTGATAAAATTTTATTTTACTTTGGCCCCTCAAAAATTTTATAACGAACTTAACCCCCTAATTTTAATCTTAAAATATATGGGAATTAACCTAATACCTTAAATTCTGAAGATCTCTGACGCCAAAATCTGATCGAGATTTAGAAGTACTTTTTTCTATTAAAAGCTGAAAAAATTGAATTAAATGATAAGCGGTTTTAAATTATTTTACTTTTTATAAAAAAATAAAGCGACGACATTTAATCTCTTATTTTTGGTAGAATATGATAATTATAAGATAAAATTTATTTAAAAGATTCTCAATCATTTGACCATTAATACTTAAAAATCTCTTCAAACGATGTGCTCTAACCCAAAATCTCTAAGAATAGTAGTTATTCTTTTAAAGATCGATTGATTGATAATTTAATATTTTAATTTTATATAAAAATGGCATTGCGTCAAATACATATTTTATTAATTATTATACTGCTTATTTAAGATTTTAATGAACATTGAATCTTCTATGAAAAGAAAAGAATGGCGATTAATTCAGATTTTCTTACCCTTTTTGGAAATATTTTGTAGCCAACAAACAAGAAAGAAACTTGAGCGATCTCACCAAAGAAATTATTACCAATGATATCAGAGAACTTTTTGTCATTGAGCTTAACCACTTTGTTATAAAGTTGTGCAAGTAATATTTTAGTCTATATTAATCTTTGAAACTCATCCAGAATCATCCCAGTTTGATTTTTCAGCTTTCTTTTTTGTTTTCTATGGGTTAGGTTAGAGTTTTATCTTTTAGTTTTTGGATTGTAATCTTGAGCCTCTTCTAGTTTGTATTTATTTTCTCATGAACTAGTAGTAGATAGGAAACTTTGGGTTGATAATTCTAAGTTTAAGAAGTAAAATCACAAGTCTCTCATCTCGTTTTTTTTATATTCCACTACATACCAAATATTTATTTGATTTTCAATCTTGCAACATGCATGTTCGAGTGATGATGTGTTATATATTTAACTAATATTTATTTTATGGATGATTCCTCTACGCCCACCGAGCAGCGATGAGTATCACTAACGATGAGCACCATTAATTTAATTTATAAAAATTTAAATTCTAAATGACTCAACGAATAATTATAAATTATTAAAAATTTAAAGATAAATTGTTTAAAATAAAGGGTAAACTATACCAGTTACCACCTTACTATTGCCCCTTTTTATTTTGACCAATATTTTTAAGATTGTATCAATCATGCCACTCAATTATTTAAATGCATTCAATTAAGCCACTTACTATTAATATTTAACGGAGAAGTTGATGTGGTAGTTAAAATATTTGATACAATTACACATATGGTCAATGTTACTTCTATACTCTATCAATTTGGTACTAATTTTAATAAATTAAAATAAACTTAACCATCAAAATCAAATGGTGCCATATATAATGACCCAAAATTCAACTTCTTATTTTAATTTATTTTAATTTTAAAAGTTACTAAATATTCTGTAATGGCCCAATTTCTGGGTCAGTAGTTTCGGTCAACTCGAAACTAGATGCTAGAGCCCATTAGATTAAATAGAGCCATTCTAGACCAATCATAAAGAGTATTGAGCCTAAGGTAGGCCTAAGAGTTAAGTTTAGTGATAGTTTTAAATTAAATAAGAAAGGAGAGTGACCTAGAAACAAATTACCCCTAGCTTATTTTAAGGTTATAAACCTTCCCATTCTCTAGAAAATTCAACGCAAAAATCTTCTCTTTCATTTTCTCTTCTATTTTCCTCTCCCGTTTCCTTCTCATTAGCTAACCAAGGCGAGATTTCAAGCTAGATTGAAGAAACCAAGGTAATTTTCTTATTCTACATTCCCTTAGCATCAATTAGAGTCATTAATTTTTAGTTTTGGTTAAGTTTTTAGAAATGAGTTTTTAGAAATCAAGGGTTTTAAGTTATTTTAGGAGGGTGTTTGAGTTTTAAGAAGTGCATCTAAGCTTTATCAGACACCTAGTTAAGTAAGTAATCTATTTCTATACCTTGATTAGTTAAAGAGGTTGAAGAGATAGTTCAAGCTAATGGAAAATGAATAATGGATCCCTAGTTGATTCAAGAAGTGTTCTAGCATCCAAAGAATCCATGTAACACACTATTAGCTTTTCCATACCAATTGTAGGATCATTAGAAATAAGTTTAGCTTGAAAGTTGAGTATGAGCATGTTTATTAGCCTTCCATGATAGATCTTATGTTTAATGTTTTTAGCATATTTTTAAGTCTTATTTATGTTCCTTTTTAATCACATAAGACTTTAAGAACATTTGGGGACCTCACTAAGGTCTTTGGGTTAGATGAATAGGAGATTTTCGAGGAAAATATGTTTTTTGCAGGCGGATTACCGATACTATGGGATAATAACGATACTTGTTCATCATTCCAAGCAAAATGCGTGTTTTCTAGGCAAACTTTAGGAATAGTTTTGAAACTCCCAGACAAGTATCGAAACTTACCAGAGCGGAGGGCTAAACTGTCGGTACTTGTATAAAGTATCGAAACTTTAGCAGGAGTATCGATACTCCAGGGATAGTATCGATACTCTAGATACCCCAACACTTCTTTATATCATCAAATAAGATTACAAGTGGAACAATATTAATGTTAATTCAAACCTAGAAACCAAATAATTACGGACAAATAAGACTAACTTTGTTTGATGTTTGGGATATGATTTGGATACCCGAGTTCCTTTAGAAATGCTAGTGGAGTCAAAAGTATATATGTAGTCCGAATATATCCTTATGGAGGATACAAGGCCCTTAAAATCGACTAACTAAAGTTGAGGCATGACACTTGCAAGGGGTGGGTTAGTTAGGGGTATGGTGTCCGATGCAAAATTTCGGGGCCATATCTACGTAGACTAAAGGGGTGCGTAAGCTCCAAGATGTAGAAATCCCTCAGCCGTACCATGATATCTACAGTAGCGTATAGAGTGAGTATCGTAAGGATATTCACTAAAGAGATCAGATCAGTAGACGTGATAGCTAGCCTTTCAATGATATACAATTAGTATGTTTTAGTTATTAGTGTGTCACTGAGCTAGTTAGCTCAGCCTTCGAAGTGTTTTCGTTGGCTGGTCAGTAGATCCAGCAGGTGAAGAATAGTAGATAGACCAAAACCCAGTTAGACCAAGGCAAATTCAGGGTATATCTCAGCATTTTTGAAAGGGCGTGTATATTTGTAAATTTTATTTTCCAGTTGAGTCGTAGTTTCAGTAGAGCGGACTGCATTATTTTTGTGATGTATAAAGATTTTATTTATTCTTTAGTTTATTTTACAATTGTTTATATTTAAATAAAGTAATAAAAGTTGGTTAACCACTTCGGTGGTTCCGTGTAGTACCTTAAATTGGTCGACTGTGTGTCGTACTGGTATAGGGGTTACATTTAGTGGTATCAAAGCATCAAGATTGATGTTCCTAGGACCTGCGAGTTAGTGGTGGTCAGTGGTGGTAAAGAGTTTATAGGTATACATGGCCCTAAAGAGTTAAGTCGTACTTTTGTATCTACAATAATGATAGTAATTATTTGTTTCCTCTTAATTTCAAAATTTAGAGATGGAAAGAAGCCCAGATCATAGTAGAAATGATAGATACGAGAGTAGAGATCATTTTAGTCAGTGATTCAAGAGATGAGTTCATCATAGACTCTAAGCATAGAGAGCTTGTAGACACAAGAGTTGATGAGGTTGTCTTCTT